GGACAGTATGACCTGTCAGATCTCTCAGTACTGATATTCATCAGGAGGATCAGATACCCTGGTGGTTAAATATACACTCACATAGAGATATACACTGTACACACACACATACAGTGGGGAAAAAAAGTATTTAGTCAGCCACCAATTGTGCAAGTTCTCCCACTTAAAAAGATGAGAGAGGCCTGTAATTTTCATCATAGGTACACGTCAACTATGACAGACAAAATGAGAAAAAAAAATCCAGAAAATCACATTTTTAATTAATTTATTTGCTAATTATGGTGGAAAATAAGTATTTGGTCTATAACAAAAGTTTCTCAATACTTTGTTATATACCTTTTGTTGGCAATGACACAGGTCAAACGTTTTCTGTAAATCTTCACAAGGTTTTCACACACTGTTGCTGGTATTTTGGACCATTCCTCCATGCAGATCTCCTTTAGAGCAGTGATGTTTTGGGGCTGTCGCTGGGCAACACAGACTTTCAACTCCCTCCAAAGATTTTCTATGGGGTTGAGATCTGGAGACTGGCTAGGCCACTCCAGGACCTTGAAATGCTTCTTACGAAGCCACTCCTTCGTTGCCCGGGCGGTGTGTTTGGGATCATTGTCATGCTGAAAGACCCAGCCACGTTTCATCTTCAATGCCCTTGCTGGTGGAAGGAGGTTTTCACTCAAAATCTCACGATACATGGCCCCATTCAATCATTCAATCTTACACGGATCAGTTGTCCTGGTCCCTTTGCAGAAAAACAGCCCCAAAGCATGATGTTACCACCCCCATGCTTCACAGTAGGTATGGTGTTCTTTGGATGCAACTCAGCATTCTTTGTCCTCCAAACACGATGAGTTGAGTTTTTACCAAAAAGTTATATTTTGGTTTCATCTGACCATATGACATTCTCCCAATCCTCTTCTGGATCATCCAAATGCACTCTAGCAAACTTCAGACGGGCCTGGACATGTACTGGCTTAAGCAGGGGGACACGTCTTGCACTGCAGGATTTGAGTCCCTGGCGGCGTAGTGTGTTACTGATGGTAGGCTTTGTTACTTTGGTCCCAGCTCTCTGCAGGTCATTCACTAGGTCCCCCCGTGTGGTTCTGGGATTTTTGCTCACCGTTCTTGTGATAATTTTGACCCCACGGGGTGAGATCTTGCGTGGAGCCCCAGATCGAGGGAGATTATCAGTGGTCTTGTAGGTCTTCCATTTCCTAATAATTGCTCCCACAGTTGATTTCTTCAAACCAAGCTGCTTACCTATTGCAGATTCAGTCTTCCCAGCCTGGTGCAGGTCTACAATTTTGTTTCTGGTGTCCTTTGACAGCTCTTTGGTCTTGGCCATAGTGGAGTTTGGAGTGTGACTGTTTGAGGTTGTGGACAGGTGTCTTTTATACTGATAACAAGTTCAAACAGGTGCCATTAATACAGGTAATGAGTGGAGGACAGAGGAGCCTCTTAAAGAAGAAGTTACAGGTCTGTGAGAGCCAGAAATCTTGCTTGTTTGTAGGTGACCAAATACTTATTTTCCACCATAATTTGCAAATAAATTCATAAAAAATCCTACAATGTGATTTTCTGGATTTTCTTATCAATTTGTCGGTCATAGTTGACGTGTACCTATGATGAAAATTACAGGCCTCTCTCATCTTTTTAAGTGGGAGAACATGCACAATTGGTGGCTGACTAAATACTTTTTTTCCCCACTGTACTTTTGCAAGGCACTGTAGAGATATACACCTGGTGGTGTGAGCTAAGCTCACAGAGTTATATGCCTGGTGGTGTGAGCTAAACTCACAGAGTTATATGCCTGGTGGTGTGAGCTAAACTGTGTCTAGGTGTTTGAGCGTGTGTGTTGAAGCACTCACTCCACGTTTGTGTATATGTACTTACCTGGTAGACAGGGAACACAGAGACCCTACAACCACAGCGAAGTTGGCCCACTCCCAGCCTACATATTTAAAGGCTGCAGGCAGAGGGCTGTTGTTGTCTAGGGGGTAGTAGGGCATCATCATGTTGTCTCGGAGGTAGTAGGGCATCATCATGTTGTCTAGGAGGTAGTAGGGCATCATCATGTTGTCTAGGAGGTAGTAGGGCATCATCATGTTGTCTCGGAGGTAGTAGGGCATCATCATGTTGTCTCGGAGGTAGTAGGGCATCATCATGTTGTCTCGGAGGTAGTAGGGCATCATCATGTTGTCTAGGAGGTAGTAGGGCATCATCATGTTGTCTAGGAGGTAGTAGGGCATCATCATGTTGTCTAGGAGGTAGTAGGGCATCATCATGTTGTCTAGGAGGTAGTAGGGCATCATCATGTTGTCTAGGAGGTAGTAGGGCATCATCATGTTGTCTAGGAGGTAGTAGGGCATCATCATGTTTGTCTAGGAGGTAGTAGGGCATCATCATGTTGTCTAGGAGGTAGTAGGGCATCATCATGTTGTCTAGGAGGTAGTAGGGCATCATCATGTTGTCTAGGAGGTAGTAGGGCATCATCATGTTGTCTAGGAGGTAGTAGGGGCATCATCATGTTGTCTAGGAGGTAGTAGGGCATCATCATGTTGTCTAGGAGGTAGTAGGGCATCATCATGTTGTCTAGGAGGTAGTAGGGCATCATCATGTTGTCTAGGAGGTAGTAGGGCATCAGACACACTGAAGTAGGTCGCGAAACAGATGAGGAGAGACGACAAGATCGCTCTCGGAGGTTCTTCACCTCCTCACCTATAGGGGTTAAAGGTCATGGGGTTAACCCTTTACACTTGTGGGAATTGGCCTGAATCCAAACGTTACACTGTTGATTTTATGCGCATTTTACATTTACTGTACTTTTTCGCAAACATTTGTTGATAACGAAATCTGAAAATACATTCAGTAACAATAAGAATATTCCTGTAAAATGTGGGATAGGCTCAACATGAGACCAAAAAAGTTACAATGGTTTGAGTGAGAGGTCTAACTGGTGTCTCCGAGTGGCCACACCTCTACATATCGTGCAGTTCCTAAGTCATTTTAATGCCCTTTTATGACTCAAAAAAGAGCCTTCAACTATAAAAGGTACTTTTCTGAGTTCTCCTAGCTGCGCCGTCGAGGAACTAGAGCAAGTGCACCTGTAGTTGTTTAGTTTGGAACAGAACCCTGCATCACCGCCGTCACACAGATACTGTTGTTTACGCGATCCAAAAAACGGTCCATTATAAATCCCAATCTGGGTCAGGTGGGACTCATTTGAAAGCCCGTTCTATTGCCAACACGACTAGCTAAATTATAAAATATGATATTACAGTGTTAGGCTTTCACAATGCAATTCAGGGAAATGGATCATAATTTTGGTGCACATTGAAAGGAGTGCATTCAGGTGCGTGTTCAAGTGGCACATTTTTCTTCACAATATACAAACATTGGCAGTGGGCCCCGGGAATTAACCCACAATCTTTGGCATTGCAATCACCATGCTCTACCAACTGAGATATACATAACCCACAGTTTCAGTGGGAACCATCAAAAAAAACGTAACAAAGCTTCTGATCAGAAACCAAACTACACACATTGTCCCCATTTTACAGCTAAGATCTTGGCAGGCCAACAAATTGATCAACTGTTCCATCTTTGTTCTATCAGTTTTTGATGAGGTGCCACTGTTTCCAGTACTCCCACAGGAATCACTCAATACCTCAATGTAAAATGATAACGCCTCAGAGAGAACCACTATAGAGTCCTGCAGTAAATCTTCTAGACAGTGAGGACTAATTGATTGTATCTGTGAGTGTAGGGTGTCCAATCAAAAAAGGCATCTTTTGACCAACGGGTAAAATAATATGTTGTGCAGATAAAACCCTCCAAGAAAACCAACGGTCCAAACATCGTCTCTATCATAATCTGTTCAAAAAGTTATTTAGAGTGTTTAACGTTGTAGGATGGCCAGAATTAGGGTGAATAAATCAATGGAAGCCAGAGAAAGAATAACATTTGCGTCAGATAGGCTGGATTCTGTGCCAGAATGAAGGCTACCCAACTGGCTCGTTTCGCGTTCAACTCATCTTTCTTCTCCAATCAGGAGGACATAAAACAATATAGAGGTAAGATGGATATCGATTGAGACATGACATATTTTCATATTCGAGTATACACGAGTCTTTTACATTTAATTCAGCTTTTTGCGACTCGTGGAAACAACTCTGAAGACGACGACCACAAAACGTAAAATCCTCAAAAGTTGTTACATGAAACCTGCACCTGCTACGTCAACAGAGCTTGGTGCTTATTACGGGATGTATTAGGTTACGAACTCCAACTTTTTGGATATAATGTTGTTGTTATAGAAATACCCCACAAATGGTACAGATCATGAATAATCATATTTGTCTTGGTAAAATGTATTTAGTAACATAAGGAAAATTGCGTTTTCACCAACTCTGGGCAGAGTGAGTGAGTGCTAGAGGCAGCCCTGATGTAACACTTTCTTTCCTTGCTGTTGACTAAACCAAAGTAGCTAAAAGTATTGCACAATATGGTGTTAACAGGTATTGCGCAAGAAATGTTTCCACTGTTACCACACCCTCTAGTCAAGTCCCCGTGTAGCTCAGTTGGTAGAGCATGGCGCTTGCAACGCCAGGGTTGTGGGTTCGATTCCCACTGGGGGCCAGTATGGAAAGAAAAAAAAAATTATGCACTCACTAAATTGTAAGTCGCTCTGGATAAGAGCGTCTGCTAAAATGACCTAAACGTAAATATGTATCTCACGATTAATGCAGCCTACGAGCTACTGTAGGCTATATGGCAGACCCAATTGTGTGTGAGTGGAATAGAATAGACATTGAACAATAAGACATTTTGCTCCAATGAAAACCAGAGGCTGTATGGATCAGAGCACCAGTGCTGCTCCAGGATCCGTTTTTCCCCTTATAGTGAATAAAGATACCCAATATCTGGACAGGGGGAACCTGACCCTAGACTAGCACTTCTGGTTCTGAGACACTTGGTACCCACAGCTACAGAAATACAAGGGATCTTTTATTCCACAGACACTTTTTATTCAAATCAAAAACATTTACACAAAGAAAAAATCAGCCAACTTAAAATAGAAACACCCCACTTCCTCCCTCTACATCCTCATCCAATCAGAGGAGGGTCGTGATGGACAATTGGGTTTGTGTGAGAGGCCAGTCAACAGAATGAAGTTGCCTCTAGATACTGATTTAGGATCAGTTACATTCAGCCCCTGAAATGGTAAAAGTTAGGGCAGCAACCAATAAGCTGATCGAAGATCAGCAAAGCAGAAGTCATGGCACAGGGCGAAACGCAGGAGCAGGTGAGAGGAGATGAGAAAGGTGGACATCCGTCTACATTGGACAATAAAAGTAATCTTCTTCATGTGGAGTTGGCTGATCATTATGAGGAGGAGAGAGGGATCATACTATGACAGACAGACACCATGTAAGAAGGTTTCAGTTCGGGGTGGGGGGGTGGGCGAGGGAAGATGGTGGTTCATGTTGAAGTAGTTCTGGCGTAGAAAGTAGCCCTACTCCATCTCCCACTGAGGATTGTAGAGAGAAACTACATCTCCCAGAATTCCTCTGTAGAGCAGTTCCAGACGAGGAAGTGAGTGATCTGTAGACCTACTGATCCAACAGACATGCTTCTTAGTCTCCTAGTCCTCCGACACTTTTCACACATGTACAATATTCACAATATATACACACACACACGCACTCCTCCAGCGCTCACACTCAGACACACACTAAAGTCCATTATGATAAGCCTTGCAGTTTGACCCAACAGCAGGGTTTAGATGTCCTTACACACACACACAGCGGTGCAGTGATGTCACTTGGAGCCCAGTAGAGGGGTGATGTCCTTGATGCCATGTTCCGTTGCCACGGTGATGAGGTGATCCAGAGCGTTGAGCCGAGCTAACAGCTTCACCACCTCCTTGATCTGCTCCCTAGAGAGACACACAGTTAGACCCCCTCTATTAAACATCTAGAAAACCTTTAGAACCTTGTAATCACTCTCTAGGCATGACTACCGCCTGCCAGACTGCAGTGGTGTAGGGAGCTGGCCAGTGGTGTAGGGAGCTGGCCAGTGGTGCAGGGAGCTGGCCAGTGGTGCAGGGAGCTGGCCAGTGGTGTAGGGAGCTGGCAAGTGGTGTAGGGAGCTGGCCAGTGGTGCAGGGAGCTGGCCAGTGGTGCAGGGAGCTGGCCAGTGGTGCAGGGAGCTGGCCAGTGGTGTAGAGAGCTGGCCAGTGGTGTAGGGAGCTGGCCAGTGGTGCAGGGAGCTGGCCAGTGGTGTAGGGAGCTGGCCAGTGGTGCAGGGAGCTGGCCAGTGGTGCAGGGAGCTGGCCAGTGGCGTAGGGAGCTGGCCAGTGGCGTAGGGAGCTGGCCAGTGGCGTAGGGAGCTGGCCAGTGGCGTAGGGAGCTGGCCAGTGGCGCAGGGAGCTGGCCAGTGGTGCAGGGAGCTGGCCAGTGGTGTAGGGAGCTGGCCAGTGGTGTAGGGAGCTGGCCAGTGGTGCAGGGAGCTGGCCAGTGGTGTAGGGAGCTGGCCAGTGGTGCAGGGAGCTGGCCAGTTGGTGTAGGGAGCTGGCCAGTGGCGTAGGGAGCTGGCCAGTGGCGTAGGGAGCTGGCCAGTGGCGTAGGGAGCTGGCCAGTGGTGTAGGGAGCTGGCCAGTGGTGTAGGGAGCTGGCCAGTGGTGTAGGGAGCTGGCCAGTGGTGTAGGGAGCTGGAGCTGGCCAGTGGCGTAGGGAGCTGGCCAGTGGTCAGTGGTGTAGGGAGCTGGCCAGTGGTGCAGGGAGCTGGCCAGTGGCGCAGGGAGCTGGCCAGTGGTCAGTGGTGTAGGGAGCTGGCCAGTGGTCAGTGGTGTAGGGAGCTGGCCAGTGGTCTGTGGTGTAGGGAGCTGGCCAGTGGTCAGTGGTGTAGGGAGCTGGCCAGTGGTCTGTGGTGTAGGGAGCTGGCCAGTGGTCTGTGGTGTAGGGAGCTGGCCAGTGGCGCAGGGAGCTGGCCAGTGGCGCAGGGAGCTGGCCAGTGGCGTAGGGAGCTGGCCAGTGGTGTAGGGAGCTGGCCAGTGGCGTAGGGAGCTGGCCAGTGGCGCAGGGAGCTGGCCAGTGGCGCAGGGAGCTGGCCAGTGGCGTAGGGAGCTGGCCAGTGGCGTAGGGAGCTGGCCAGTGGCGTAGGGAGCTGGCCAGTGGTGCAGGGAGCTGGCCAGTGGTGTAGGGAGCTGGCCAGTGGCGTAGGGAGCTGGCCAGTGGCGTAGGGAGCTGGCAAGTGGCGTAGGGAGCTGGCAAGTGGTGTAGGGAGCTGGCCAGTGGTGTAGGGAGCTGGCCAGTGGTGCAGGGAGCTGGCCAGTGGTGCAGGGAGCTGGCCAGTGGTGCAGGGAGCTGGCCAGTGGCGTAGGGAGCTGGCCAGTGGCGTAGGGAGCTGGCCAGTGGTGTAGGGAGCTGGCCAGTGGTGTAGGGAGCTGGCCAGTGGCGTAGGGAGCTGGCCAGTGGCGTAGGGAGCTGGCCAGTGGCGTAG